AAGAGAGAGAGAGAGAAAAGAGAGAGAGAGAAAAGAGAGAGAGAGAGAAAAGAGAGAGAGAGAAAAAAGTGAGAGGAAGGGTGGGGAAGAGAAAGAGAGGTGGACAAGAGAGCGCACGCGCGGGTGCCTGTATGTGTGTATGTATGTGTGTGTACCAAACTTGGCTATCAGCCTCTGTTTGGCGATCCTGCATTATTACGTATCCCAAAGTCCGCCTTGGAGGACATTTACCCAAAGATCCAAGGCCAAATGTCCTTGACCGCTGAAGAGCTCCCCCATTCAGAGGGAACATCCCTGTCCGGCGATTATTGCGCGATGTCCATTTATCCATTATTGTAGCCCCTGCATGGTTTCGCCTTGCCTGCAGCGTATGACATAGACAACACTGGCCAAGTCACGAGTATCTGATGTGCACATGGTGGGAGGTGTTCCCACATACGATGGTTTTGTCTATGTTGATGATCTGACATGAATTGCAGAGGTTGCCATAGCAGGGTTGTATGGTGTTGTGATCAATGCTGTCTTGAAGGCTGGGTAGTTTACTGCGAACAATGGTCTGTTAAAGTTTTGGTGGTTGTTTGAAGGCAAGAATGGAGGAGGTGTGGGGAGGATCTTCGCAAAGTGCTCATCATCATCGATAACATGTCGAAGGCTGCAAAGAACAGGGTGTAGTTTCTCCGCTCCCAGGAAGTACTGGGAACCCTACCGGTCGTATCCCGTATCTGTCTTTTGAGGAGGACATTAAGGCTTTTCACTGTGGCAAGTCAGAACTGGTGATTGATGAGTTGAGCATTGTACCCCGTTCCTATGAGAGCATCCTTCAACACCTTCAGGTGTCCTTCACATTCCTCCTCATCCAAGCAGATCCTGTGTATGCGTAGGGCTTGTCCGTAGGGCTTGTCCGTAAGGGTTGGCTATTTTAATATGTTTAGGGTGCTTTCAGTTTGTTTCATACATCATCAGTTGTGTGACCCTTTGATCTTTTACTTATAAATTCTGTGTTCTGTGTGCTTCTTTCTTAGTTCACCTGATGGAGGGGCTACACTCCGAAAGCTTGTGTGACTTCAAACAAACCTGTTGGACTATAACCTGGCATCGTGTGATTTCTGACCTTGTCCACCCCAGTCCAACACCAGCACTTCCACATTCCTGACCACTTGAAGATTACTAATAATAGCACATCTGCTGTTATGGTTCTTTTCTCCCCTGGAAGAACCTGCTTCTGGCACTATTTCTTTTCCGCTCATGTTTGAAAAACGCAAGTCAGGAAAGATCTCAGTAATTACATAATTAAAAATCCATTTCTCTACCACTTTACAACCCAAGTTCTTAAATAACTCATTGTTATGATAACTCATAAATTGAACCCAAGAATAAATAGAACGGTTAAGGACAATCAGCCCATCATCTCCGCGCTGGCTCTCTAAGAGATGCTCCATCACACTCCGTGTTTCTCATTCAAACAAGCAGCAGCAAGTCATTCGGCCCCTTGAGCCTGCTCCACCATTCAATAAGATCATTAGTTAGATCATCCAACTTAAATCTAGATTCATGTCTACTTCAATTAGCTTTCATCCCCTTGCCAAAGAATGTATACATCTCTGCTTTAAAAATATTCATGGACTGCTTCCAACAACTTGCCAGGAAGGGAGTTCCAAAGATTCATTACCAGAGAAAAAAAATTCTCCTCATTGCTACTTAAAAATTAGTGTTTCCCATTTAAACTACGCATCCCTAGTTTTAGATTTTCTATTAGAGAAAACATCTGCCCCACATCTCCCCTGCTAAAACTCCTCAGATGTTTCAATCAAATTTCCTCATTCTTCTAAACTGCAGCAGATATAAGCCTGACAAAACATTTCCTTATTAGGGAACGTACGCACCCCAAGTATTAGTCTGATAAATCTTCTCTGAACTGCTTCCAACACATTTACATCCTTCCTTAAATATGGCACCTAATACTGTGCACAGTGCTCCAAATGTAGCCATACTGATGCCATGTATAACTGAAGCATTACCCTGTATATTAAGTTTTCCTTATGATTAATAATAATATTCCATTAGATTTCCTGATTACTTATTGTTCTTGCATACCAATCTTTTGTGATTTATGCACACGAACACCCAGATAACATTGCATCTCAGAGTCCAGAACTGGCTCAAAGGTAGGAGACAGAGGGTGGTGGTGGAGGGTTGCTTTCAGATTGGAGGCCTGCGACCAGCGGTGTGCCAGAGGGATTGGTGCTGGGTCCACTGCTTTTCGTCATTTATATAAATGATTTGGATGTGTACACAGGAGGTGTGGTTAGTAAACTTGCAGATGACATCAAAACTGGAGGTGTAGTGGACAGCAAAGAATGTTACCTCAGAGTACAACAGGATCTTGATTAGATGGGCCATTGGGCCAAGGAATGGCACATAAAGTTTCATTCAGAAAAACGTGAGGAGCTGCATTTTGGAAAGACAAACCGGGGTAGGACTTATGCACTTAATGGTAAGGTCCTGTTGTGTGTTGCTGAAGAAAGAGACCTTGGAGTGCAAGCTCATAGATCCTTGAAAGTGGAATCCCAGGTAGATAGGATAGTGAAGGCAGCATTTGGTATGCCTGCCCTTATTGGTCAGTGCATTGAGTACAGGAGTTGGGAGGTCGTGTTGTGGCTGTACAGGACAGTTTAGAATTTTCCCCAAATTGTGTAAACTGTAAAATTACCCACTGTGCATTCAGACCTACATTATTTATATATAAAATATACACAGACAGCCAGGAGGAAATAAAGGTCCCATACCAACTCCTGGGGGCACTACTACAGATTTTTCTCTGGCACAATATATGCCCATTAAGTGACATGCTGTTTATAATCTCTCAGCCAATTTTGTATCCACATTGTTACTATCTCTTTTATTGCAACAGCTTCGTCAAGCAATAGACTTAAGCACTGTATTGAATGTCTTTTGGAAGTACCACATCAACAGTCTGGTCATCGTCAACCTTCTTTGTTACCTCATTGATTTAAAAAAAAACTCCCAGTTTTTTAGAGCTAACTTCCTCTTAAATTTAAAATGTTGGACTTGAGACCCAATGAGTACATGTCAGTATATTCAAGTCCCATCCCTGCTGTACGAGCCAGAATGACTTCACTCACCCATCATACTGTCATCTTTGAATTCTAATCTGTCAGGAAGGTAGTTTGGAACTTCAAAAGAACTTGACATGTTGGAAGAGTGAGCTGAGAGGCAGCAGTCAACAGTCAATGCAGAGAAGGGAGATCATACATTTTGGTTCAACGAACATGGACAGATAACAGGCACTAAACTAGAGAAAGACCTGCTTGATGAAATGATGAAAGGAAAGGTGGAGAGAAGTTAATAACAGTACAGTATATTGGGTTGCAATAATAGAGATGCAGAATACAAGAGCAGGACCTATTATAGGACACTAATCTTTTGTGATTCATGTGCTAGGACACCCAGATATCTCTACAACATCTCACCATTTAGATAATACTTCTTTTTCTGTTCCTGCCCAAATGGATAATTTCACATTTTCTCACATTATAGTCCAAGGCCTCATCTTCACCCACTCACTTAAAGCTGAACCTATGTAAGGCACTGGTTAACAAATGAAAAAGTACAGCATAGGAACAGGCCCTTCGGGCCTCCAAACCTGTGCCGAACATCATGCCTAATTAATCTAAAAACAAACCTGCCATTTTTCGAGCCGTATTGCTCTATTCCGTCCCTATTCATGTGCCCATCTGGGTGCCTCTTAAATGTCTTCGATGTGCCCACTTCCACCACCTCTTCTGGTAGTGCATTCCAGGCTGCGACCACTCTCTGCGTGAAAAACTTCCCTCACACATCTCCCTTAAACTTTCCCGCTCTGACCTTGAAACTGCGCCAAGAGGTTAGGCCTCAACAGGAATACTGTGTGTAATTCTAGGTACCACACCTTAGAAAGGACTTGAATGCATTCGATAAAACGGAGAAGAGGTTTATGAGAATGGTTCCAGGGTCATGACACTTCAGTTATGAAGACAGACTGCAGACATTGAGAATGCTTTCTTTGGAGAGGCAATGTACAAGGGGAAATTTGACAGAAGCTTGCAAAAATCATGAGGGGCCTGGACACAGTAAATAGGGAGAAAATATTCCGAGGAAGGGTCACCGGACCTGAGACGTTAACTCTGATTTTTTCTTCCCAGATGTTGCCAGAGCTGCTGAGCTTTTCCAGCAACTTCTATTTTTGTTGTAGAAAGAAAATGTTCCTGCTCACAAAAGAAAAAAGAATCAGAGCGTACAGTTTCAAAGTGTTTTGCAAAAGAAGCAAATGCAAGGAGAAAATAAATTCTTATAGGAAGTGGATAGGGTCTGCAATGCACTGCCCGAAAGTGTGGTGGAAACAGGTTCAATTGAGGAATTCGAGATGGTATTATATTATTATTTAGAAATACGGTGCAGGGTTATGTGAAAAGCCAAGATAAAATGATCAGAGCAGGTGCAAAGACCATGGGTCAATTGGGCTACTTTTACATTAACAATTCTGCTATCTTAACCTCTAGGTTATTCAAAATTTTTGGAAACTCCTAAAAGCCCCAGGTGCCTCAAAAATAGCCAATATTAATTGAAGTTATGCTTTAACAGTCAGTATATTTCTATAAATATAAATCAAGCTGAGTTGAATAAAACTGTCCAGTTGATTGTACTCTGTTTACATCAGACACACTCAAATGAGAAAATACAAAAGTTACTTTTAGTGAACAAAATAAGTTTATTTTTATATATGAACAATAGAATCTTTTCAATGCTTTATTTTAAGCTATTCTCTCAGCCAATCATGGTGTCTGACTGTTAAAGATGCAAATTACATGACAACTCTAGATATGAACACTGATTTGTTTTAATATGGCTACACATCCACTGAAAATATCATACAAAATAGCAATACCACCATTCATCAAATTAAACTATGAGCAACAGTAAATGGGTACTCACACTCATCGTAGAATCCATAGATACGATTGATACTGGCGCACTCATGATTTCCACGCAAAAGGAAGAAGTTTTCTGGATATTTGATCTTGTATGCTAGGAGGAGGCAAATCGTCTCCAGAGACTGCTTTCCTCGATCTACATAATCTCCCAAGAACAAGTAATTTGCCTCAGGTGGAAATCCTCCATATTCAAACAATCGCAGGAGGTCTGTGTACTGTCCATGAATGTCACCTAAAATGGAATAGAAAATTAAAAACTATAATGGTTTCCAGGGTCTATTCAATGCCATTTTCTTCCATTTGCAATACACCTTCCAGTATTTTTCAATTGTATCTTGTATAGAAGAACGTGGCCCTCTGGTCAAACTTCAGAGAAAAATGTCAAAAACTTTGGATTCAAATTCAGGTGAAAGTAAATGAGAATCAGCCACATATTAAAAGATGATCGTTTTCAGGTTCAAATTCAGGATTGTCATTTAACAGGAGTTAAGTTTTTTTTAAAAAATCCTGGTTGGAATGCTGAAGCAGCAGTATCTCCTGTCCTAAATACGGGATTTTTGATATTCATACAAAGCAAACCACTCCTTCCTTTCCATTTCTACGAAGCACAAAAACAAGCTTCTAGGAAAGCCACTAACCAAGATGAAGAGCAAACCACCAAACTGTACTATGGTAGGTAAGAAAATTTGAATACTTTTGAGTTTAAAACATGTTTTTACAAATTTTTGAACAGCACTGTGGGAATAGGGGATTGTCTATGAACGCAGAGACACATTCTTAACAAATGTTTTAAGTGATTGGTAGCAGAAGTTAGATTCCACAAAGTTGCACATAATTTTTCTTATACGAACAGGCAATGTTCCGGAGGGAGAAGGCAGAATAGACAATATAGAGCTTGTTCTCTCAAATAAAAGCAAAATATTGCAGAGGCTGGAAATTAGAAACACACAAAACTCTGAAGAAACTCAGCAGGTCTGGTAGCATCTGCGGAGACAGAAATCAAGTTAATGTTTTGATTCCAGTATGACTTCTCACGTGCTTGTTTTAGGGTTTGCTCTTTGATTGGCAGGATGCGACAAGTGGCATTTCACAGGTATGTGCACTGCTTCCTCTTCTTCATTCACATCAAGTGGCTTGAATGAAGAAACATATTGTTTGCAGAGGTGTTAAAGGGTGTCGTAAATTGTGGAACTTCAAAATACTCCAAACACCAGCACAGCAGGTAAAATGGATGCTGTAGCATGCACAGGCTGTCCCACTAATTTCTAAAAGGGACGACCAAACCCTCCATGCTGGCCCTAGACACCCGTTGTGCTCCCTCCTTGCTCCTCACATTAATGGAGTTTGATATGGGAGGAAGGGGAAGGGGAGAAATTGGTTGCTTAGAAGGAAGGAAAGCCTTGATTAACTACAGCAACTACATGGGCAGCACCATATTTGTGACAGGCAGCTGCCAACATTCGATGCTGAGTAATGACGTCATACTGTAAACACTTCTTGTTCTTCCCGGTGGTGGCATTCACAATAAGCACAGTCGACTAAGTCAACAGAGCAGCATAGACAGACGAACTAAATACAGTAAATAAAATTGCAGCAAATTGAATTCAACGTAGGTTGGGAGGTGATCCACCTCAGATCAGAGCAAATTAAACTACATGTTCTGCGTGATGTAAGACTACAACTGGTGAAGAAGCAAAGGGAACCATGTAAAGAAAAGTTAGCATAAAAACAAAGAACTGTGGATGCCTGAACTCTGAAAGAAAAACAAACTGCTGGCGAAATCTCCAGCATCATTACTGGACCTGAAATGTTGACATTATTTCTCTCTCCACCAGACCTGCTGCATTTATCCAAAGAAAGCTTGAAGAACAACAACTTATCTTCCACTTGGGGACCTTATAGTATTCAGGGCTCAACATCCAGTTTAACAATTTTAAAGCATGAATACCTCCTTCATGGTTATTACCCACCTTCACACTGCAGGCCCTCTCATGACATGAGGACTGCTTTCAGCTCAGCCAGCCCACTTACAGTAAGGCCTACGATGTCCATCACTGAGTCTGGCTGGACAGCATCACTACTGTCCAAGCTAGTTAAGCCCTCAAGGATATAGCTACTAGCGTGGTTTTATGGCAGGTGGTGAAGGAACCAATAAGAAGGATAAATATGCTTGATGTCATCCTCACCAGTTTGCCTGCTGCAGACATCTGACCATAACAGCATTGGTAGAAGTGATCATCTCACAGACCTTTTTGGAGGCAGAGTCTCATTTTCACATTGACAAGTTCATGCATCATATCACTGCATTGTGACAGCTTTAAACAGATCTAGAAGCTCAGGATTGGACATCCACAAGGTACAATGGGCCATCATACAGAACTGTACTCCCAACACAATCTGCAACCTTACTGCCCAGCATATCCTCCATTCTACCATTGTCATCAAGCCAAGGGATCAACCTGGTTCACTGAAGAAAGCAAAATGGCAGCATTAGATGTATGTAAAAATGAGGTGTATCTGGTGAAGCTACAAAATAGGTTAATCTGCGTGACAAACAACAAAAGCAGCCAACAATAGACAAGGTTAATTAATTCTATAAAGGATCAGATGTAGGGTCTGTATTGGCCCTGCCATGTCTGATTATGAATAGACACAGACAACTAAACAACTCTCTGGACAACATGCCTCCACAATATCCCCATACTTAATAAAGTCTTGGATGAAATGATTCACCCCATAGAGGTAGGGGTGTGTGCGTGCACGTGTGTATATGTGTGCATGCACGCATGTGTGTATGTTTGAGTGCGCGCATGTGTGTGTGTTTGCATCTTTTTTGGCGAGACCATGTAGGTGCTATGACAATGAATGAATGGACAATGGACACTGCACAACAATCACCAGGCACGAGTGTTCCCTCCCAGTCAGGGAATGCTTTAGCGGTCAAGGGCATTCAGCCTCTGATGTTCAGGTAAGCGCCCTCCAAGGCAGACTTCAAGATACACAACAACACAGAACTGCCATGCAGACAGAGGCTGATAACCAAGTTTTGTATTCATGAAGACATCCTCAACTGTGATCTTGGGTTCATGTTGTCCTGCAAGTGACCCCAGCACACTGTTCTGTATCTGTAAAATCTTCCTTACTGTCCTGTTTTGACAGCATCACCTTGATAAATTGTTATGATATCGCTCTATCTTAATTAGTTTGTACAGCTTTGGATTACTTATTACGCTCTCACGCGCACCTTCACACGCACATGCTCTCTCTATCTCTCTCTCTTTCAAGCACATGCATAAACCTATAGGGTGAAACATTTCATCCAAGATGTTTGTTTATTTGCAGATACATTCTATTTTGTTCAAGAAACACACAATTTGTACTCACAGTCAGTCAGTGTGGCATTTTATAAATTCCTGCTTTAGCTACAAAATGAGCCTGTTTCCAGGTTAAAACTCAAAGACTCTGGACAATGCCTCACACCGACAATTCAGTGTCTGATCTCAGATGTCAACTACTGCATATTCTTATTGCCCTGCTAGCTTGAAATTTGGCAAGTTAGGCAGACACTGATGAAACCTTTAATTATCTCAAGACAGTGACTTGAAACAGATTCTGGAATTTGTATCTTAATCAATCAAAACTAACTGAGTTCTCCATATCCTGCTTCTGCAATTTCTAGAATGCAGGAATGTATGAATGATTAAAGATTCAACAGGAGGCCATCAGTCAGCCATTTTAGGTTTGTTCACTCCACTCACACCAGTTGTATGATCCTTTGATCTCCCTTCCCTTCACCTATATGGCTATAAACTCTGTTTCCGTGTGCTGTCCTCTCACTGCACCCGATGAAGGGGCTGTGCTCCGAAAGCTTGTGATTTCAAAAAAACCTGTTGGACTATAACCTGGTGCCATGTGATTTTTGACTTTTATCCACCACAGTCCAACACCGGCACCTCCACATCATACCCATCCACAATGATTATGGAGCCCAAAACATAAGTGCAAAAAATAAGGCTGAAGCTTGAGACAGAAGTCCCATGTGGATGATCCATCGTGGTCTCGGCCAGAGGTCCCCAGCAGCACTACAGGAGGGATTACATTGGAAGTAGTGTACCAGGATGTTGCCTTGATTGAAGCATTTTTAGCTACAAGAGGGAGATGGATAGGCCCTTTCTTTGGTGCAGATAAGCTAAGGGGTAACCTGATTGAGATATACAAGATTATGAGGGGCATGGACGGGTGGGTAGAAAGCAGCTGTTCCTCTTAGTTGAATAATGAAGTGGCATAACTTTAACATGAAGGGCTGGAGGTTTAGATGGGATTTGAAGGGGAAAAAAAAAATTTGCCCAGAAAGTGTTGGGAATACAGAATGTACTGCCTAGCAAGGTAGTAGTGTGGGAAATCTCACAACCTTTGAAAAGTATGCAAATGAGCACTTGATTTGGGCGAAGTGCTGCAAATTGGGATTAGTGTAGACAGGTCAGCGGAGACCCGATGAGCCAAAGGGGCTCTTCTCCACTGTATCACCATCACAGATGCCAGTCTTCAGCCAATTTGATTCATTCAATACCAAGAAACAACAGTAGGTACTGGATAGTGCAAAAGCATTGGGCCCTGACAACAATTCAGCAATAGTACTAAACATGTGCCATCCTCATAGCCAAGCTGTTACAGCACAGCTACAAAACTGGCAAGCAGCTGATAATGTACGTCAGTACACATTAAAAGCAGGACAAATCAAGACCAATCATTGCCCAATCTATTCTCAATCATCAAGAAAGTGATGGAAGGTGTCAATATAAAGTACTGTCCACGGCAGCATTTGCTTCATGATAACCTGTTCACTGATGCAGAGTTGGATTCTGCCAGGGCCACTTGGCTCCTGACCTCATTACAGCCTTGGTTCAAACATAAACAGCAGAACTCCAGAAGAGAGCAGAGACAGAGTATTTGGTGACTGTGGTCTCAAAGAGACCTAGTAAAATGAGAGTCAATGGGAATCTGGAAGAACTCTCTGTTGATGTAAGTCACATCTGGTATAAGTGAAGACAGTTGTGGAGGTCAATTATTTCACAGAAATGTTGCAAAGCAGAAGGAGACCACTTGGCCCATTGTGCCTGCACAGGTTTGTTAAAACAACATTATTACCTAGTGCCAATTTCCTGCTTTTTCCCCATACTTTTGCACGTTTCACCTTAACAGGAGTTCCTCAGGGTAGTATCCTTGGCCCAA